TTGCCGTCGGAGACCCTCTTTCTCTCTCTAGAAGGGACCGACGACCTTTGAACCTGATCCCGACTCGTGGCTTAAGTTTTATGATTTTGTTGTCATTTGAAAGCCCCTAATCTCCCGCACATTTTGATGTGTGAGACTTGCGTGTGTGTTGTATGTAGCCAGTATGGGCCAGCACGCAACCAAGGAAGATTACTGATGCTGCATGAGTCAAGCTTAGTTCAGAAGAGATGCTGCTTAAATCCTTCACAGAATCAGCGAAACACGGAGTGACTCATAGTTGGAGAGGATGATTTGAATTCGCCATATATGGAACCAGCATTGAAGATTTAAAACGAAAGCGGAACTGATTTCTTTTTGGAGTACTGGGACTCCGAGACATTAGCATGTCCCTATCAACATACTTTATTTTTACTATCCGAAAAATTCGTGGTCTCTACTGAACATTGAGGTGTGTTTTGTTGGGCGGAATTTGATCACGAGGACCCTGCATGTGGCAACTTACTCATTTATAGGAGAAGGATTTATCAGCGTGGTGCATTGGTTCCACCGTAACCAGATTCGCAGTGGCGCGCATTGTCACATGTTATCGTCTTGTTTTCAATGTGCACACTTGTCATTTTTTCTGCACACTACGACGAGAGCCACGACGATAGAAAGTGGAGTATGACAGTGCGACGATTCAGCCGTGGGAGAGAGCGGCCGCAGGTGTGGCGCTCCTCAACGTGAGGCGCGCGCAGTGCGAACGCTGCGAGAATTTCGGAGGGCTGCCCTAGGGTAGTCACGGTACTCCAGGCTAAGGGAGGGTAAAGGGTATCTGTACCCGTGCTCTGACTGAATTGCGCGCTCCAGTGAAACGTTGGAATGGATTGAACCAATTCATCACTCTGATAAATAATTCTTATTTGATTCATTCACTCGATTATTACACCGAAAGCCTGCGCTACACCCATTCTGATATCGAAAATAGCGTAGTGAACTTGGAAATTGTGACTCATAGAAGTTGGAAAAAAGAATCTGATGCGGTCTGACTCTTTCATCAGTGAACTATTAAAATAAGGAAAAAATATGAGTTAAATTTGATATAGCCAATGAGTTAGGAAAAAGCTGCGAACAAGTGGGCTTTAAGTCAAACTGTATATGTTACTGATTTCCATAATGTTTGCTGTGAAGGTGTTGCTAATACGTAAAAGTGGAGGTACTTGCACTTGGCTAGGTAAAAGCAGAATTCAAAAAAACTCGTGTTGTCGACGCGTGGAACGCTCATTGCGAATAAATGATTGCACAAATATTTTTAGAGCGTTGGCTAGTTATCGCGTGTCGCACATTATTAGTATATTAGATTAGTGGACATTCGCAGTGTGCGTGTGTAAGGTGAATTAGCATGTATGTTGACGAACAGCACCGATTGACACTCGGCATTAGGTTGTGTCAGCTCAAAAGTGTTAGGAGTACCAGCATAAAAAGGCCCTAAATAACTCATGGCCTCTGGCGTTAGCACAAAGTGTGGTCTTGTTTGCTTTCGCAAAGTCTACAGAATGGAAAAATTATTTCATGCAAGTTGGGTGCATCTGAGCGTGCATCACATAGAGTCAGGGTCAACCGTCCGTTGTTTCAATTCCAAATTTGACGATCCTCCTTAAAGAGATACCACCTCCAACACCATCAACCTTGAGGGATCCTTGTTCGAGTCTATTCCTTCCCCTCCCCCTACCGCCACCCCTTACAATATCATTGCTGTTTCTACAGGGGGAGGGCAAAAAAAGGACTCACCTCTATCTTCTCTTAAAGCAACAATCCAGGAACGAATTCGCGGGTAAGGACCACCTATAATGACGTTGCAGGTGAGAAGTTGGTCAATGGAGATAGAAAAAGTAGAAAAAAACGTCGGGCAGGGGCTTAGACAGGGACTCCCCCGGCCGTTTAGGGAGATGTGTGTTGGACGAGTTGTCCGAACCTGCCCGTAGTACATGCGCTCCAGTTGACTGCTGGCAAATAGCCATGCATGCTTGCAAATACATAACTATTTGCCAGCAATCGAAATTGAAGCGCTTCAATTGGGTTCTTATGGAATCGACCTCATACAGCGCGGCGGTCCCGCAACGACCGCTAGTCGAGCAAGCGCTCTGCACAGCGAATGTTGGGCGATCCCGCCTCTTTATGGGTGATCCGCCCCCTCCAAGAGGACTTCGACCCCTTCCAGCGCATTTTAGAGGTAGGTTTTGAAATTAAAGACATTTCCTATAAACTTTAGTTGGGCTGGGGCATGTTTTGACCGCCTAATGACCAAGTAGTTGAAACCCTGCCTGGACTGTTGCTTTAAAGGAATTTCGCGGAAATTCTTGCATTCTTTTTGACATGAATGTGTCAGTTGTGATCACTGGAAACAGCACACAAAGTTTCACGCATGAAGATTCGGTTTCCGAAGAGAAACAAACGTACAAAAACTACACTCTGGACATCGAAGGTAATTCGGGCGGAGCCAAAGGCGAGGCATGGAAAGAAGTTGGCCTTTGGCCGGCTACGTATCAGGCGACGCAATGAAAGAATCGGGTTAAAGCGCGCGATTTCGGAGAGTAGAGACAAATCGATCGATAGAATAGGATGGAGTAGAAGTGTGATGTGAATGCAATAAAGCAGAAGGCCAGAAAGAGTTTCTAGTGAAGGCACTCCAAGAACCAAGTGGAAGCATCCCCGTCGCCAGCATTTGTGAAAGACGTCCGTGGGCACTTTGAACGCGTAGCAGCCCTTTCGATTTTTCGAATTTTTTACCAAAACAAAAGCAATATTTCTGTTCTTTTCATTCTTATCGTGGATAATGAGTCTCAAGCCAGTGATTTATGGCTGAAATAGAATCATGATTTTTCCGTGAAGATTCCTTTAACAGCGGAATCAAATACAGTTCACTGCGTCCAAACCGAAAGAGCCAAGCTGGAAATGAAGAAAGCGCGTTCCCTTCTATTACAAAATCTCAGAAGAGCCTTCTACCCCGACGTCTCAGAAGATTTTCCCAGGGAAACATGGTATACGGTTCAAACTATTCCTCGACGGATCGTAGGCCATTACAAACGTATCCGAAACGATTGTGAAGGGGTGATGCATAGCCTGAATTCTGCCTATAGGAAGGCGCTTGTACAAAACGCCTCATGACATTATCTATTTGTTCCTCATTTGCTTTTTTTGCAATTTCATCGGAATCAACAGCCTCAAGCATCTAGCTAACTTGCTGAGGTGTCTGTTTCTGATATAAAGTCTGCTTCGTTTTGCGTTCCCTATAGTGCACGAATTCGTTATCTTGCTCGTCAGAAAGCTGAAATTAATCAATTTTCTTAGAGAAACAGCCATTCTCATTGATTAATGACCATCATATGTCGTCCATAATTTGATATTTACATTTCTTGAAGGAGTTGAAAAAAGTCCAACGGCGAACATGGAATAGCGTTAATCCCATGAACCAAACAACTGCAGTATGGCTAAAATATACGTTTTCTTCTTTATAGAAAGAAGAAAAGGGTTGCTGTGAACAATCTCTCCTGAAATAATGTCGTCAGTGTGGCAATTCTAAAGCAGTTATTCAACGCGGGAATGCTCTTTACGTGCCATGTGATGTGTTCAGAATCGTAATCCGGAGTAGTGGCTTTGAAGACTATAATACAGTGTGTGTGTCTTGTTTTCCTGGACTTATCAGCATAAATCCGCCTTCCGGGCGAAAAGCAAGGCGGGATGGCTAGATGGTCTATTCAGCCTAGGCTTGTCTGCTCCAGTACGGCAACAATAAGTATAGATTCAGCCGCCGTTTCTGAAGTGCTCTTATACTTCGCGCTTTTCTCCAACAATTTTCATGTCCGATATAACTATTACGATAATTAACCATCAATCAAATTCCGTATGAAGCACAGTCCATTATGAATTGCTTTTTGTTTAAAGTTTCTTGTGTATGTGTATGAAGCTGTTTTCAGTCCGCAATTGCCGAATTGCGGGAAAAAGAAGTGGAACTGCGTCGGGAAAGTCGACGTAGTGGACGGAAAGGCACGAGTTTATCAGTCGAACGTGCTCCAGTAGAGCCTGCCTCCTGAGCTTCAAGTTTGAGCAGTATCTGATCTTTTCCTGCCTAAGTTTTCCTCTTTCGTTGTTCTCGCAAAGGCAAATCGGTAAAGCTAAAGGTGCAGCTTTTGTGCAGGTAGAAGGCCGCATATTCAGGTGGTTTCGCTTTGAAACGCCGTGTTTCTCACTGACGCTTGGACGTCATCATCATAATGTAACTGACAATCAGTTAATATAATAATCTAAATATTTTGTTAATTTAGTCTCTTTCTATGAGCTTATATCGATTACTGTTTATTTATACACAACGAGTTTCAGTCTAATCCAAATAGATGATTTGTTTGTTTAATTGGGTATTATTGTATTGTATTGTGCATGCATGAGTACAAAATGTGTTGTTCTATCGCCTGCTTTGCTTTAGGGTCTGATTGAAATCCCGATACCACCGACGGGTACCCGACAGGAGGCCCGTCGCGCGGCGAGAAGGCAGAGACGAAGAGGGGTCAGCGGACGAGGCGCAGCGTGTACTGTAGCAATTTAGCGTCAAGTAATAGAATTGCTTCACTACAGTAATTGCATAGAGCGTGCTGTGACTCGTATGGTGACCGGCTGGCCGTCTCTGCTCATTGGCCACTCCAGGCTTCTGCCGGTCCCCACATCGACCGTTTCCCTATGCCTATAGGTGCTGATAGGCGGTGGTACCGTACGTTCTTGAAATTCCGTCTTGTGATCCTCCCGAACCCCCTTACTGATCGTTTGTGTAGATTGATGTCTAGTCGTATTCACGCACTTCTGAAGTGCTCCCTGCCTTGTTGACCATTCACAACGCTCATCCATAGGCCTATTTTTCTCGCTCTCATCATCTTATCTCTACCAAATTTATGCTATTTATAATCTCATATGTTCATTTCCTTGGTCGGTATATACATGTGATGCTTTCTCGCGAAATTTCCACACTTTGTCTCTCCCGTTCCAAGAATCTCTTTGATTCACTTCCTTGTTCCAGTTCCACGTATAGACCGTTATGCACATTATTTATCATAAATTATTTATTTGTTCATCTATTTACATCGAATCGAAATGAATACTCGTGAGAGCGAATAGGCTCCTTTCAAGGTATGGCCAGCAGTCCCCATGAGGCGGAGAAATGCGGTACCACAGCGTCAGCCAACGCCACATTACGAGCTGATATCCATCGAACCGTATCCACCAGTTGTATAGCCGCTGCTGCACGATTTGCCACAAATAGTCGTCCTGAATTGGGAAACTTGCCCTTCGGTGGGTACAATAATGTGGGTGTGCACCAGAAATATATGTGCGTCAGGCGTCCAAAAATCTCATGTTGAGAGCATATTTAAAGCCTTACCGCATTGATGGGTAGATTGTGTTTGATAGGAAAGTCAAATCGCCCACCTGCTTCGTCTCTGGCCAAGGCTCCCGGTCTCTGACAGAGAGCAATGCGGCGACGATCGACCACTTCAGAATCACGCACCGAGAACATCAGCACGGTGTTTTTGTTGCCTGTAAATGGTAATCCAGCTTTGTGTGGAAAATGCTCGGCTAACACGGTTAGGAGCATATTATTTCGAAAAATAATAAGAGGAGAGTGACTCATAACGGCAATTGACAAAGAGCACAATTACTGAGAAACGAAAACTGGGCAAGTAACTTTAATTCAGGCCTTCTCATTCGGCTTTTTTCCGCAGAAAGGGTACAAGGAGTGATAAAAGGGATGCGTGACGTTACGAATGTCTATAAAACTGTAGAACTTCTGCTTTTAGGGTTCTAGCGCTATATGACACTGAAATATCTAATGGAAGGCCAAAAGGATAAGGAATAAATCAGTCAGCGTCATCAATTCGAAATGCGCACAGCCTAATTTGTTCTGCTAAATTCGAAATAGAGAGCAATATATGGATGCAGTGACATAGCATTGACTGGTCTATGGATGGTGAGGGATGTGCAGCCGACTTTCGGGTCAACGATTTTATCCTCTTATTGTTAGAAGTGTCTGGTACCAGTGAATCTATTTCGGGGGGGGGATGGAAGGCTTAGTTGGCCTAGGCAAGATTCGACCCAGATTCAAATCCCGGACTATGCACGACGAGACCCGGTGGGTATACCATCATGGGCAAGTGGTATGGGGTCTAGGGTATGATCGTAGTTCATAACAGGGTGGAAATTAATGCGACGACCACCGTATAGAGAGGGGGCAAGAAAGTCATTTTGCCCCTGGCGATACATCACCGTAAGTGTTTCGCGCCAGTCCGCTGTTATGGATTGTTGAGGCAAATTTCTGCCACTGTCCCTCTCATAACAAAGCAGGCACTTCTTCATGGCCCCCATCGCCTTGATATGGCTCGTCATTATGTCAGCTCAGTCGACTCAAGGAGGCCTACGGTAACAGCTGAACAGTGCACATTGTTTCATTGAAGGTTACCTGATAAGGCCGAGGAGACACTAGCCCCGACTAAGCATACCACTTCTGACCAGCTTTTATGAAAACGTAGCGATGGCCCACGATCCGTCGGGGACCTCGTCGGGTTAGAAACGTGCACCATGTTCCCCGTGGAAAAGCCTTCTGGTGCTGTCGGTGTAAAAGGCTATTATGAAGTTTTCTGATAGAATGGGATGAGCTCTTCAATATCCAGTTGCGTGCATTAGGCTTAAATTTATCTAAGTGTAATTCTTCGTTTAAAATGTGGAGGGAGAATGACTTTTATTGCCGTCCCTGCGTTTACATCGGGGGTGGGTTGCTGTGATGACAAAGGTTGTAGCCGTTATCGTCGATAAATTTGGTACAATGTGAGGTTATCGACCATACAGACCTTGTTCTCACTTTGGAGTAGCGTCCGTGGCTTCCATAATGATCACCGGACGGACTAAAGCTTGGATGCGCCTACCTGTTCTACGACCAGTATTTGAGTAATAGGACCAATGACGGCGAATGCGAGCATATCGGTGTAGCTCTCAGAAAGCCGGTATTGTAACTCTGTCCACTGTCCGACTGGAGTGAGCTCGTACAATGACGAGAATATCTGAGAATACTTTCATTTTTGCAGGGCATAATTGTAACATTCAAAAACCTTAAGAAATTGAACTCTGAGGTAAGTCTATTTACAGAAAAAGAAAAACAGTCAAATAAACTTGAATAAGAAAACCCCTGACTTTGTTTGCAGTCGTTGGAAGGGGTAAGGCTGCTCGCTCCGAATCTTAAGGATTTTTCAGGGTCTGAGCGGGAATGAATGGAAGATGTTATAGACACGCACCTCTCCACAAACACAAAGGTACATGTAGTCTGTGTGAGCGATACTGAGGCGCTCACTGATCACTGTCTCGTCCCTCATCCATTTCGGACCTGAAAAGGACTGTGGTACATCAACAATTGGCCGATAGTCTTCTCATACGATGTCAAAAATTATGGGTTAGAAACGGTATCGATTATTTCCACATTGCTTGCCAGATAATATCTAGGAAGGCATACTTGTAATCTGCTTCAGGCGGGGTTCAGAATGATGCAAGGATATCATTCTCCTTTAGGAATCTTCAAATACACTGTGTATGAGCACCCATTATTCTGGGACACAGCCCTGTTAGCACAAAAACAAACGGGTACCTACTGAAGCAAGCGCGCGCAACAAGGCAGAGTCTGCGAACGGGTCGCAGCGCGTGCTGTAGCCATTTTGCGTCAAGTTAAATACAATGTAACATTGTACGCTCTACGTTCTACATCGCACATCACGCGCTGCAACTCGTCCACTGACTGCCTTCTTGCCGCGCGACGGGCCTCCTGTCGGGTACCCCAGCAGTTCAGAAGTTTGTGCAAAACCGGTTCAGAATTGGTATCACTACTACCTGTTTTATGCCCTTTGCAGCCTTTATTGTATTCTATGAAACGCACTCTTTCCCGAAAGCTCCTTCACAGCTGAACCCAAGAAGGAAGTCGAATTTTTTCCACTTTATTTTTTATTTTTCGTTGTCCTGCTACACTTATACACGAGCAAAACCAGTTGGCAATCCCTCTGTAAGCTGAAGCTGGGAGATATACGTTTTTTACAAGGTGAGATTGAAGACCCATAAAATTTCTCGGTGATTTGAATTGCTAAGCTGCCACTTGTGACTTCTATAGAGACTAGTCATTTCACAGAAGAACAAATCAATTGCTTTCATTGTGCTTGCAGCTTTAATGTTAGCTTTCGTGTTGAGAAGAGAATGTTGCGAGAAACTCGTCAGCGCCAGTTTATGATGTGGAAAGGATCATAAGAAAAGAGAGCTGCCACAAGGAGAACATATGAGATCCATTTATCTCTCGATTCTTCGGTCCAGATATATTTTACAATGTGGTAGCACATATGTGTGTCACCAGGAATCAAAGCATTGAAATAGCTAGCAGCAGTGCGAACACTGCGTCGGGGAATGGGTCGCAGTTGTACGACCCCTTACCACCCGTCCCTCGTCCTCCTCCACCTTGCGGGTGATCGGTGATGTGAATAGAGGTTGAACGTAGCTCAATCAGACGCACTTTGACTTCGCCCCTCCCCCTTCTAAAGAGAATTGGCCGAGCGCAGGAACTCAAAATCCGAGTTCGAATGTGAACTTTGAAACGCAAAATTTCATTTTGTGCCCCACACTTTATTTTCTCATTTACTCTCCAATGCTCCCATCTACGACCCTGGTCTGAACCCTGGATAAGAACCCCCTCATGTATTTGATCAGCTCACCAGTACATGAAACGGTTTTTACAAAATGTGTGTCACCAGGATTGTACGATTGTAATACTTCGACTGATCAGCTAGCTATGTCTACAACATAACCCATCAAAAGTGCTTATCTATGTTCTTAAAGCCCTACACACTTAAGAGCTTTAAGATCAAAGCCAGAGATTCGAAATGACGTGGCGTACTCCAGGATACGGGCATGAAAAGTTATGGCAACAAAGTGAGACCACTTACTGAGAAGGGCGTCAGAAACTGGGACAGGACACTGTAATTCGAGGTTATAGGGCAAAAATCGTTTTCAAAAAGCGTCAAGCGACATGAAAGACCTTCCTGGTGAGTGCCACTGATACTGCGCTTTGCTTTCTAATTCTATGTTAGAAAATCAATAGATGAATAAGTGAAAAAGGCTTCTGGCAATTTTGAGAGGAACCGTTTTCCTTTGTAGACGAATTAAGATGTTCGAGGTACGTAAATTTTTAAAATTCAATCTCTCGCTTAGCCAACTTCAGGCTAATCTCGCCTTAGCAAACTTCAAGGCTTTCTCCCGATCCCCCCCGCCACCTACCTAACAACTTGCGGCTGTCCGTTTCCACCACCTGTGTTCAAAAAAACCTTGGACAGCGCGTGAGATTTGAACAAAGGCACACCCCATAGAGGGATACTATTCTGATCCCAATGGCTGCTCCGATTAGTAGGATATGGAGACTGCGCTGTCCAGTCTAAGAGGAGAAAGCACGCATCGCTGGATGGTGAATGAACATGTGTCTGAGAAGGCACGTAGATCAGCGGGATTGAAAAGTGATGACTTGAGCCAGAACGGCAAGACGAACACGAGGAGCAAGGAAAAGATGGAGAAACGCGATAAAGAAGGACGTCGCCGAAGTCAGGACCACAGCAGAAGATGCCGCGGATAGTTCGATGTGGCGAATAGGCTAAGGAGCGCAGCGTACTCTGCGACTGCGCGGGATTAACGCTTAGGGAGTAATGATGAAGGCTGGTCGCATTAGAATGCAGCACGCATGCCAATTCAAGTATGAACGTCTTTACGCATGAGCCAACCTTGGAGTTGATTATTCGGCGAGAATTAATAGGCGCTTATAAACTTGTCTGCCAGCCACATAAAGAGTAGAAGGTGTGCCGCTATAGCGAATGCTTATCCACATCTGTGCCACGCGTCCAGGGAGCTTGCAAAGAAATCATGGGAACAGCTGGGCATGGATAATATTGTACTTGAAGGATAGGGTTATTTCCGAATACCACATGCGCTTACTGATTCATATAAATAAAAATGTGCAAAATGAAATGAAAAGTCATAAAATGGGAAAGCAAGATAAATGTCTAGTTGTGATTCCAGTTTGGCAGAACGAAGAATATTCCGAAAAATCATTTCTCGTCAGAAAAAAACGTCGTGCGTAAAGCGGAAACACCCTCCAGCGTACTTCATAGAATGAAGAATGAGATTGGAGAGCGAACAAAAATCGGTTACTACCCACCTTCAATCTTAGCAACATATTGAAGATCTACTGTAAATTTAAAGATGTATCGACACCAATTCGACTGCCCTTCCTCGATATCGAGAAGCATCTGAAAATGCAAATATATGGTCAATTCCATAAGGAAAAGGAGTGACTATGTACTCAATGAACTGCCGTGTCGGAAGGGGAATTTCAACATCTTCCAAAAAAAACGGCCTCCAGGGGTCACTTTCAGATGTCTATGCATTCTGTTATATGTTGGTCTTGGCTCTCAGCAGGCTTACGCCGTTTTTTGCACCGGTTTAAGCTAAATTTTCGGACAACTTGTACATTTAAATAATCCGGATCAGTGATTGGGAAACATGGACACACGACGGAGGGCCGCCTCGCTCGGCGGTGTAAACGCAAAGACGTAGACGGGTAGGCGGTGACGAGGCACAATTCGGTACCGTGCAAGTAACCTGGCCGATCGAACTTAATGGAATGTAGGAACGACTATACTAGCCGTTGCACGTCGCAGTAGTACACGTAAAGCGATTGCCGCTAACCCTTCTTCTAACAGGCCTTCCGCGATCGTAAGGGCGACGCTCGCGGTATTTCGCGCATGACCACATATTCGACGGTCAGTTCGAACAAAACGGTACAACTGTTTTCGCTGATTAAAATGTGCAGGAAAAGTGGATAAAGCAGTGACTAAACTGTGTGCACGACTTACTGCACTGCAGAATGCCTCGCGGTAGTCTGCGTCTGACCCTTCCGGAGTGTTCTATCGTCCCATGTCTGTTCCCTCGCCTTGGCGCGGCTGGTTGTTCATTCAGCATAATCTATCCGATCAATACTAGTTTTTGAACAAGGGATGAATTTGTCCTCAAAGGCTGCCTTCAGAGACCTGCAAAACCGATTAGGCAGAAAAAAAAAAATATTAACTGATTGTAGGGAAGAGCTAACGAAGTATGTACGGGGTCACTTTGAAGATCGCGGGCATTATACGTATTACAAGTGTTAGAGACGAATTCACGCTGGAAAGGCAACCCATTTCAAATTAACTTAGCGATGGTGAGTGGTACACTAAAGAAGGAAAAACCATGAGAAACGGCCCAGAACCCGAGAAATGGGACCCCTTCCTTGCCCGTTGATTTGGCATTGATGCGACTCTCATCGCTGTGCCCTCTTCAGCACTACGCTCTCTCACCTATCTTGGGTTATTTACAGAACGCCAACGTAGTATGGAAACCGCAGCGAGTGATCATTGATGGGGTGGGCGCTGCAGTGGTCCACCGGAAGCGCCAAGATTGAGCCTTGATAGGTCGCCGAGGGCACTCCTGTTTGTGTGCAATTGCGCTATATTCAGTCTGACAAACCTTCAGGAGTTCGCCGGAGTCGCTCATACTAGTGATGAATTTTCCTTTTCGGAGTTCCATTCCGAATCGTTAATTCGTTCCTCTTAAAAGTGGGTGCGCAAGAATGACAATAAAAGAGATGAGGATGTGCGAAATGGAAAAAGAAAACTCAATGGTGACTGCATGATACCGCTGATAATCAATGAAAACGAAGATTTCAAAAAAAAACGTAGTAAGCTTAGTTTTCGTAGGTAATAGTCGGAGAAAGTCAGAGACGGGGTGTGTCTCAGAACTTCTTTAGAGTTGTTTATGAAACTGAGTAAATTTCCATCAAATTTGGAAATTTTAGAAGGATTGCATAATGAAAGGTAAGTTGTAGTAACTCCAGGTGCTTCGAGAGGGCGTGACTGAAATGAAGTAGGAAGTATATGTAGGTTCTCTGAGCCTTTGGTGTTCCCTCACTGAGAGCACTGTGCGCACTGAGTAAAACAACCCAGGTCGAAATATGTTGGGGATCTTCTTAGCTCTATCCATGTACCCAGTATTGCAACTGCTTTTCGGCACATCCAGCTCGTCCGTTTTTACAAGTAATGCTCCCGCGAGCTCAAACGAGGACCATGCGATGCAACATATCACGTGGTGCTTGCCCATCTTTTATTTTCGAGAGAATGGGTAGATTTTATAGCGAAAGTGGAAGAGATGGGAATCCTCACCAACACGTGTTCCTTGTAATAAATCGGACTTCGTGGTTTCCTCCAGGCTGGATTTTTTATCTGAATAGATTAAAGAAGTGAATTTCGGCTGTGTTTGGATCAAGAAACCGTATTAGGTTGAAAAAGCTAAAGTTATCAGACTACCTTTTTGACGACATTTCCCTGGGTGTCGAACACGATGATACCTTCCTCTTCATCTGTCACCAAGACCGTACCATTTGGAAGCACCACACAACCGGTTACATACTTTACTACTCCTTCGCCGATTAAAACACTTTCAACATGCCGTGCAAGCCTGAAGAAGGCATCTCTGAAACTAGTAGTTAGCAATCACAATTTGAATGGCTACGGAATCGTAGAATAATCAAATACTTCGCTTTTTAAGATTTTTTCAGAATGCGCCATAAATTTGGCACTTGAAATGGTTTTAGCAATACTTTTGAACGAACATAGCAAGAGAAAGCCCCGACGACGCTCATACAGAAGAACATCTCTTGCTGGGAAGATCTTGGTCAAGGGTCTCTTATCCGTCACTGATTTTTTGGCCTACAGCAGGAATGGTAATAAGCCCAGAGGCAGACCCTCCACCGGGTGGTTGACCATCTCGAAGAGCTTATACAGGTAACA